AGATATGGGTTTTCGAGTTGTAAGTCACAAGAAGGGTGGGGGTCAGACTAGATAACTGGATGTCTCTCACAAGACCCACGTTGCAAGACCCAGGACTTCCCTAAAAACCAGGACGTTCCTAAGCACTGACACAAATGCTAATCTTTAAACTATAGGCTAAGAAGTAATGTACCCTTAATTGGACTGGTTAGGAAAGTATTTGTTATTACAAATCTATTGGCTATGAAATGCTCGGGCTCTGATATATTTTCACTAGTTGGCCACACTTTCAGTAGATGATTTCCAGGTTTCATATCATCTATATGAAAAGAACAAAGAAAAGAAAAATTCTCTGAGATTTAAAACATTGATGTCTCGCTGCTCTTGCCCCAAATCTCTGTACTTACTTTATAGGCTGTTCAGAATGCAATTATTTTTCCATTAAAATATGACATAGAACCACTCAGATGAGATGAAAACATTTCCTCCTTCAGCCTCCTAAACAAGTCTTCTGAACATTATTTGAAAGCAATAAGCTAATACTCTTACGTCTGACACTTTTTTCCTTGACATTCCAATTTTATAGATAATTTCCCTGTAGCTTCAGTGAAACATTATCACCATACTTGTTTATGCGTTTCTTTTTTTCCCCTTTACTGTATATAACCTCCTCACACTGAGAAGGAAATCAGCAAAAAAAAACAATCCTTAAAATTCCATAAGGATTTAAATATATGTTGCTAGGGTGAGAAAGGGTATCAGAGAAAAACAGTCCATGCCAGTTTGTCCTGACAAAGTCCTAAAGATCTTGGCACCTGATCCCTCTGAGCACACTGTGCTTTGTTGCATTCTAACATGTCTTCCTCCTTCCCCACACATCAGCATTTCTGCATTTCTCTATGCACCTTTTGAAATAATAGTGTTACAAACAAACAGAAAGTTTATTTACATTTCTAACCTCTATTTCTAAGCATGTTAACAAGTACTCAATGCGTAGCTGACTGAAGTTGATTCCCCTTACAAAGGCTCACTCATTTGTTGGATATAAAGAAACAAAACAGGGAATAACTAGTATGGAATGAGGGCCTTAGATTACAAAACTAAGATTCTAAGTAGTGGAGTAAAGGAAGAAAGTAAGAAACATTGGAGTGAGTTGAGGAAGGACAGTCAGTGGTGGAGGGTCTTTGGGATCTCTGCTAGGAGGAGTGCAGGACCTTTGCAAATCAAAACCATAAACATGAACACTATTGTAACCATATTAACTCGATCATAATTAAAAAGAAAATAAATGGCTCTTTTTAAAACTTAAAATGTGATACCATTTTAAATAAATACTTCACCTATATATTTCCCTTTACCTTCTGTATTTGAATTACCCCCTTAACTGCATTTGCCTTGACATCCTTTTATTAGGTATCACTCTGTTATTTGTAAATATATTTTATTACCGCCAACCACTTTCTTTTAACACACAAAAAACTCTTTAAATATTCACAAATGTTTAGCGAAATTTTCTCTCCTTTTCTTCTTCGTTTTTTTTCTTTGGAAAAAAATATTTTTCCAATGGCATTTACCCAATGCTTAGTTTGTTCAGTGTGCTATAACTGAATCCAAAGATTGGATGGTGTTGGATTTTAACCCTAAGTGTTTTAGGCTTCATCAGTGAATTGTTCCTTTTCCTCTCCCCAGAGACCTTTACAGTGCTTTTATGAGCAACCCTTAGTGAAAGCCATTATAACCTAAGAGGCAGGACCCCCCTTGGGAAGGAAAAGCTAAATCAGTCCAGGATTTAACCTGGGATTTACAATAAAAGCCTTACTGGCCTTCAGAGCCCAGAGAAGTAGGCTTTGGAATCTATATTTCCTACTGTGTTTATCCAAATAACTGCAAGTATTAATAAGAAGTAAACTTAATTAATATGTACAATTAAAGGGAAGTTATTTAATAAGTACAACTAAAGGGAAAGAGAAAAGCAATATAGACGTTCCTGGAAGACAGAGTATCTCCTTGAGTTAATCATCCCAAGAGAATTTCCGACATTTAATGCTTTACCTCTGTAAATGTACCCCACACATGTTCTATAAGTATGTTCACAGCTCTGCACTAAATAGACCATTTTTGCCATCTAGCCGTGATCCCCCTGTCTCCTTGTTCCTCTGCTGGGGAAGCTTGAGAAGGCGGCTCTCAGCCACCAAACACAATGTGCACCCACTCTTGAACTCGCAGAGTGAGTTGATTAAACTTTTGCTTCTCATAGTTCTGGAAGCCTGGAAGTCCAAAATCAATATGCTGAGAAATTCCTTGTCTGGGGAGAGCATGCATCCTACTTTATGGCCTGCTTCCTACTTTATGTCTGTTTCCCACTGTTTCTTCTCTATGGGCAAGAAGTTAGAGGTTCCTGTGATTCTCTTTCATAGAGGAAATAATCCCTTTCATGAAGACTCTGCTCTCCACAAACTAATCAGCACCTATTACTATCCCTCGCCCCCATTTCATGCTTGCGTTTCAGTCATACAATGATCAAGTATCCATCCCTCAACCAGTGCCTATTCTCCACCACCAACGATCCCAGTATCCCTCTTACCACCCCACTCTTGCCACCCCCCACCTCTGTGGAAGGGCATTTCCTTTTGTTCTCTCTCCTTTGGGATATTGTGGATTTCAGTAGAGGTACTGAGTGATCATCGTGTTCGGTCTATAGTCTACTTTCAACATGCATCTCCCAACCTGAGCGGGTCCTCCCAACATCCCTTACTTGGTCTTCCCTTCTCTGTCTGAGCTGCCTTTTCCCCAGCATGTGAGGCTGGCTTCCAAGACATGGGGAAAACTTCCTGGTCTTTATCTCTACTACTCTTGGGTGTTCAGACTATAATTCTGAAAAAGGCAAATTTCTCTTTAAGCTGTGACATCATTCCAAAAGGAAGAAAGAAGAATGAAGACAGTGCTTAAAAGTTATCGAACAAATATTAAAACCTAAGAGGAAATTATCCATTAAGTATTAGGCTCAAGATAAATTCTCATTAGTTTGATGCTTAGCTTTCTAGATCTGCTGGAATAATGCTGCAACAACCACAGCCAGCTAGGATGCTGTCCAACTATGGCAGTGACCCCGCCATGCCACAATTCTCGGAGGTTACCATACATGTTATGGTTCTATTGGATGCACCTTGAACAGCAGCTCTGAAGGCACTAGGTTGGGGAACATTGGTTCTCTGGAGCCAGAGCGGTAAGCCCCATCCTTTGAAGCTACTCTACATATCTAAAAGGGTGCAGAAACTTGAAGGCATAAAAATGAAACTTAAGTGATATAGATATATATATAATATTGATATATATATCACATTTAATATATATATAAATATATATATATCTATATATATATAACAGCAGCCTCAGAGGAAAACAATATATCCATTTATACAAGATTAACAAATCATGTCAAGCAGAATAACACACATGGATCACTTGAAAACGAAGGTATATCGAAATTAAACTGCTTAAGAGCAGTGAGAAGGAGCAAGTCCTATAAAATCCTGTTTGCTGTAGTGGCATTAAAAACAATAAAAGGCATGACTCCATGGAGGCAATGGGAGGGTGGGAAAGGTGGGGGTATACTGGGGACATTGGTGGTGGGAATGTGCACTGGTGGAGGGATGGATGTTTGATCATTGTGTGATTGTAATTCAAACATGAAAGCTTGTAACTATATCTCACGGTGAATTAATAAAATGTTTTTAAAAAGGTATGACTCATGCAAGAATATTGTTTTAATTTTCAATTTCTATAGTAAATGCAATTTGCATATAAGGTTTCCAAATTTTCTTATGGGTTGGGAGGGTTGTGATAGGCAGGACTAAAATCTTGATATGACATGGAAATTAATAAGTTTGGTTCACAGATTTTGCATATTTTTAAGGAGCCAGGTGCAGGGCAAAATTTGAGAACCATGCAAAAGGTGCAAGAAAGAGTGATTTTTGAGTTGAAAGGATAGAGGCAAAACAAGGAGACTGAAAATACGAGAAACGTTTCCAGAACAAACTGGCTGGAAACACTTGTATGGTTACAGGAGATGAAGTATTCAGAATAAAAAGTCCAAAAGAAAGTGAACATTAAGAAGGCCATCCGGGAAAAGTCTGAGCATTGAGCCCAATAGGCATCCATGATATAAAGAAAAGAATATTTTCCAATTGGGAGCTTTTATTTCTTTGCAAGATGTTTCAAAATGGCTCAACATTCCACTGTTTTCAGACCTTAAGAACTGAAGACACTTTTTTAAAAATAAAAGTTGCTTATTTCTTTCCATGCTTCATTTTCGTTTTTCTCATCAAAGGCATCACCTGTTGCAGTTCTCATCTTGCCCTCCAACTGTGCTGAACAGAACTGTCAAATCAACCTTTCCCAAATGCTGTATATCCCACATTTCTGCAAGTTTGTCGAAGAACTTCAGTGTGTCGCTGTTTTATGTTCTGTCAAATATGAACTCAAACTATCTACGAAGACTTTCTAACATCTCTTCCTGTGAAACTTATTATCATATTATTACCAACACTATTATTTTGTTTTTGGTGATACCCAACTATGTTCAGGGCTTACTTCTGGCTCTATGCTCAAAGTTCATTACTGGTGTGTTTTGGGGGCTGTTTGTGGTGCCAGAGATCAGACCTGTTTGACTACATTTCTGACAAGTGCTTTACAAGCTGTACTCTCTCTTATACCTCTTTATACTATTCTTTTAAAAATTTATTTTAGGCAGTACGGTTTAAGTTAAATAGACTCTGATCTCTTTTTTTTTTTTTTACTTCTCTTGAGAGTTCCTGTGTACTATTCACCGGAATTAATTGTATGAGGCATGAATTTTAGAAAGAAATGAAAGGAATAAATAATTCCTACTTATATGCAGGGAATAGAGACCAAGTTATTATTGTCTTCTAAACCTGAACACTTCTGTGTGAAACATTGTTGTTAAAGAATGTGTGTGTAGAAAATGATCATTTTCTTTCATTACCATTCAAATTCAGTACCTTGCCTGACCCAATCTCCATGATGCAGTTTGTGTTCTAATGTATAGCAACATGTATGGTAGCCAGAGAGAAGCTCTTTCCAGTTAATAGTCAAAGTGACTTCCTCATCTTCACAAGCATTGGCAGGACGTTCAAAGAGGGATATCAAGGCTGTAGTGAAAACAACTGCTTGAACCTTGAGAGAGACATTGAAAGAAAATCAGGCATGGGAAGAGTAGTCACAGCAAAAAAAAAATTGTGCCCTTATTATTAATAAGAAATAGATGCTATAGTAATAGAAATTTCTTTGATGTTATTTAGAGGATTCTGGCAGCTATATTAATAAGAGAACAAAGACAAGTTTTGCAAAGCAATTACCAAAAGCAATTTATGACTTGCTGCTCTTATGTATTTGTCATTAAAAAACAATAGCACTAGCACTGCACTGTTCTCCCTTTGTTCATCAATTTGCTTGAGCAGACACCAGTAACATCTCCATTGTGAGACTTGTTACTATTTTTGGCATATCAAATATGCCACGGGGAGCTTGCCAGGCTCTCCGTGCGGGTGGGACACTTTCGGTAGCTTGCTGGGATCTCCAAGAGGGACGGAGGAATCGAACCCGTGTAAGGCCCTAAGTGCTGTGCTATCATTCCAGCCCAATTAAAGATTATCTATAATAAAATATCTTTAAATATAAAACCAATATCCCCTTTCTTAGGAAAAACACACTTTCATAATTTCATAGTCCTATTAAGATTTCTTTTTAAAATTTTCTTAATTACTCATACTAAATTTTACACTTCTAAGTTTTAACTATTTTGTGAAAAATTTAAAGCATAGTAACAAAATTATTCATAATGTTAATTTAATTTATGTACCTCTGGGGGTCTGAAACAATAGTACAGCATGTAGGGCTTTTGCCTTGCATTCAACAAACCCCAAGTTTGATCCCTGGCACCTGATAGAGTCCTTTATACTCAACAAGAACAAGCTCTGAGTACAGAACCAGAAGAAAGCCCTGAGCACAGCCAGATATGGCAAAAAAAAAATTATATATCACTAAAAGAAATGAGAAGTATAGTTTTTGAAAAACGTTTTATCAACCCATCTTAAATGTATGATTTTGTTGAATTTCCTGAATAAAGTGTGCAAGGTAACTATGATTCACTGTATTGTAAACCTGAGCGCCTCCTTAAAATTTATTTTAAAATGTTTAATATGCCTTTAACTGTCATATATTTATTGATGCTCTGTGCCCAACATATGGTTTTATCTATCACTAAACATGTTTCACAGGGTAGTCAGGAGAGATAGTACAGGGGGTAAGGCACAAATTGCACAGATTCAACCCATGTTCCAATCCCAGCTCTGCATATGGTCTCCAATGACTGCCAGGAGTGATTCTGGAGCACAGAGTCAAGAATAAGCCCTTGTGGCATTAGGAGCATAGTCTTCATCAGTCTCCTCTGTGCCCTGTTCATCTGACTCATCGCTGAAGATCATTGTTCTCTTGTTCTGTTTTGTTTTCTGGAAGATCTGTCACCATTTTATGGGTGTTAAAATGCTCTGTTATTATAGTCAGCTGCTGGGTCTGTTAATATTTGTTACATATATTTTGGTGGTGGCACATTTGGGTAAGATGTATTTTAATTTTTTATCTTCCTATTGTATTAACACTTTTATTCATATGAAACATCTATATTTGCTTCTTGCTCAAGTCTGTATATCGGTTCCTGCTTTTCAAACTTTCTGTTTGTTTGTTCTGGAGTTATATCCAGAGTGCTCAGGGGCTATTTGTGATACCATCATGTTTAGTGGCCACACCACAGAGGTGCTCTGACAACCATGTGGTGTCAGGGATGGAATTTAGGACTTCCACATTAAAGCATAGACTCCAGCTTTTTCTTTCTGATTCCTTTTAAAATTTTGGATTGGTTTTGGAAAACGAGTTTTCATGCTTTCACTTTAAATATGTTTCCAATTATCACTTAATTAATGAGTATCTTTTAAGCAGCATATAGTTGGGTTTTCCATTTTACTCCATCTAACCACTCTCTACCTTTTGATTGATGAGTAACCATTTATTGTTGGGACCATTACTGATATATGAAACAGTTTTTTCTACTAAAATGGAAGCACAGGGAGTAAGATCAAGTGTAATTAAAAACAATAAAAATGAAAAACTAACAATTACAAAAGGAAATTGTTCAAATTAGACTACTTAACAGTTCACAGGAATATTCTACTGTCATTCATTAAGTATTAATTTCTCAGGTCCGATGGAATTTGATAAAAAGAAAGAAGTCTATCTAATGCATGAGTATCAGTGCTACTACCTCTTAATATGTCTACCATTTTGTTACAAGTTATATGAAAAATATTCCCAAGAGGCTATTGCTGATGAGTTTTAAATCTTAGAAATTAAAATTTAAAAAATTAATTTGAAAACTTATGAGATAATGTAAGACACAAAATTTTAGATGTTTAATAGCACTTAATTATAATTAATTAAGAATGCTGTAATGAAAAAAGTTGACATTTTTTCACTTTATAAAGAAGATAAGACTATACATAGGGGAAAATAAATGAATTTGAATATAAAAATCAATGAATGGCTAATATAATAAAGAAGAGGAATTTCAACATGATGTATATTTTTCATGTTTAGTGTTCAATTATAAGATCAAATATACTTCATTCTATTTTTATTTAAAATAAAATTTTGAGGTGTATTGGCAATGGTACAGTGAGTAGGGTACTTACTTTGTACGCACCTGACTCGGGTTCAGTCTTGGCATCCCATATTGTTCCCATATTGTCCCCTAATTTCACTGCCAGGTGAAATTTCTTGGCACAGAGCCAGGAGTAAGCCCTGAGCATTGCTGAATACCCCACAATTCCCCTCTCCCAAACAAATAACAATTTCACAATATCCAAAAATCTGGAAAAAACCCGAGTGAACGAGAATATATGACTGGTTTAAGAAACTTTGGTATATCTACACAATGGAATACTGTGCAGCTGTTAGAAAAGATGAAGTCATGGAACTTAAGTACAAGTGGTTCTACATGGAAAGCATCATGCTTCGGGAAATGAGTCAGAAAGAGAGGGACAGACATAGAAAGCATGCACTCAACTGGGGAATATAACATAACAGAATGGGAGATGGACACCCAAGAATAGTTGAGTTAAGTACCAGCTGGTCTGCTCCACTGCTTGGAAGCCAGCAGTACATGCTGGCGGCGGGGGGGGGGGGGGGGGGGGAAGACAATTCAGAGAGAGAAGGGAACACCAAGTAAAGGGTGTTTGGAGGATTCACTTAGAATGCGAGATGAGTGCTGAAAGTACATCATAGACATTATAGACTGAACACGATGGCCACTCAATATCTCTATTACAAACCACAACACCCTAAAGGAAAGAGAGAACAAAAGGGAATGCTGCCACAGAGGCGGGGTGGGATAGGGGGAATGGGGTGTGGGAGGGATACTGGGATCATTGTTGGTGTAAAATGGGCACTGATGGAGGGATAGATACTTGATCATTGTATAATTAAAACCCAAGCACAAAAATTTGTAAGTCTACAACTGTATCTCATGGTGTCTCACTAATAAATAAAATAAAATAAAATAAGATAAAATGAATCCATAGTGTTCAATTTTATAATTCCCTCACTTACCTTTCCTGTTATGTCTCCAAAAGAAAGAATTGATTCATTGGCATCAAGAGGGTCATACCAATAATCCATGCAAATTGGTGTTCCTTTTAGGCCTTGAAGTTTATATTGACAAGATAATTCTTTAGACAGCAGATCATAGAAACAAATCTCTTTACTTGTAAAAGCCACTGCTATCTGCAGTAGTAAAGCAATAAGTCAGAAAGCATTCCTAATGAGACCAATATGCAAAGCATACATATAAACCCTAGCCAAATCAGACATTGCTCCCTGATAATCTCTGCAGTGCTAAAGAATTACAGATGGTGAATCAAATTTGCTTTATTTTTTTGTAAGTTTATGTCTTTTTAAATGTATTTATTTACTTTTTATTTATTTAATTTTGTCTTTTTGGGTTGCACCTGGCAATGCTCAAAGGTTACTTCTGGTTTTGCACTCAGGAATTACCCCTGGCAGTGCTTGGGGACCATATGGGATGCCGGGAATTGAACCTGGCACGTGCAAGGCAAATGCCCTACCTGCTATACTGTCACTCCAGCTGCAATAAACTTTGGTCTCTAGATAGAAGAAAACTATCTCATGAAGGACATTTGAACATAAGTTCTTCCTCTCCCCACTCCACACTCCCACAAACTTATTCTAATCCATAATTGACCAGATGACTAATTGCATAAAGGAAACTAAGACATAGGAAGCTGTAATAAACTGCCAGTCACACTAGAAACTTAAAACATCATGTTTTACAAAGCAAGCAGAAGCTTTCACAATGATTACAAGCTCTGTAGGCAGTCTTCTGAGTCAGATAATAGCCTACAAATGATTTTTAAAAGGGCAAATAAATGCACTGATACAAGTGAAAAAATTTCAGTTAGAGTAACCCAAAGGAAAAGAGAAGACATACATTATCAAAATCAGAAATTTAAATATTTAAAATTAAATATTTAAATATTTTAAATATAAGAGGGACTGGATTGATAATACAGAGAGTAGGGTGCTTATCTTGCATACAGTACACCTGGTTTTATCCTTGAAACTACAAAGCCCCAACAGGAACAGAGGCAGGAGTAAGCCCTGAGCACAGCCAAGCACAATCCCAAAGCAAAATAAAAACTGTAATTAAAAAATTAAAGAATTATAATAAAATATCATAAACAATAATTTACCAACAAATTATAAAACTTAAATTAATTCCTAGAAACACAACATTACAAAAGTAAATAAAAGAAGTAGAAAATATCAGCAGATATGAAGGTGAAATATTGACTTAATAATTTTTTAAATCCCTCAAAGAAATTTCAAGACCCATATAGCTTCAAAAATTAATAAATAAATAAATACCAGCCAAATATTTAAATGATGAACACTGATCCTATTCACAAAAAGTAGAAGAGAGAAATTTCTCAAGTTCCCTAATAAGGCCAATATTATTCTTACAGCAAGATCACTGGGATCACATTCTTTGTCTCAGGCCTGCAAAATGCATGCACTAACCATTTGAATTACTTCCCTAGCCCTAAAAGAGTACTTTGCATTTTATCTGAGGCTAAGTATAGATTTAAAATGATTAGGTGTAATTTGAGGGTAATTAAGAGTGCTTCTCTTTTTTAAGTTTCTTTACTTAGGGTTTGGTTGTTATTTTTGCTGTTGTTGAAGAAGCTTCCAAGTCATACTCAAGGAGTCCAGAGAAACTTCATGGTAATTCTCAGTCAACCGTTCAAGTAGCTCAATGCTAAGGCTCAAATATTTTATGTTGTTGGGGCCTCACAGTGCCAGGAATTACCCAAGTCACAATCAGCAATGTTCAACCATGTTGTACCAGGAAACGAACCAGAGTTGGTCAGATGAAAGGCATATGCCTAAAGCCCTGTACCGTCTCTGGCATTGGGATACTGGTTCTTAGCCTTATATTATTCATGAGCATTTAAATACTTTACAGTAAAATTTTTCGTCCTCAATATAAAATATTAATAACGTTGACTCTTTTAAGTAGAGTTTTTCATAAGCATATTCCTTTCAATATACTTTATTGCTCAGATATTTAGTTGCATAAAGATGTTTGGACTGACAAGGTCTTAACTATAAGATTTTGTGAACTAAGGAATGCATGTTCAAAATCAAATAAGCTTTTCCCTATATTTGCTTTACCATGTGCTGATAGCCTCTCAGTTATACATATAGGTCAATAATCCTGTTCTAAGCTACAGAGTTAATAAAAGTCTTATTTGCTAAATAATATAATATGACCATATTTAGCACAAGTCTTCTTTGCTAGGTAATGTAACATGACTGTACTTGGACACAGCCCAAAATCTGAGACATTATTAGTAATATCATTTACAAACAGCCAAGAGGTAGCTTGAGAAATCAAACAGATCACTTGGTAACTTGATTATGCAAGCTTGCATTAACTCCAGATCAAATGAGAGATACAGAAGAGTAGCACAACATCTGTCAGTGATAGCATCGTACTTGATATTTATCAGGAAACGTATTAAATCAGTTTACCCCTTCACAAGCAGTAAATGTATTAATAAAGACTTCATACCTTATTTACATTTTCCAAAGAGACAAGACTGGTCACCCACAAGTGATTAAGTTTTGTGACATCTGAAGTGATGGGACGTGTTTCCTGCAACGTTAAATTATCTCCCCAGATTCCTAACAATCCTTCCTTACTGATGGTCAGATAACGGCTTGAACTTTTTAAGAAAATTACTTTTTGGATTGTGTCTTTATGTTTCATTGGCAGGAACTCAAAATCTTTCCACTGAGGAGCAATTGTTGTCTTTGCTTGTTCATCATTCTCAAGTGTCAGCAGCATAAATGAAGTCAGTTTGTCCCAATTAATGAAGCCATCTTGGACCACATCCACTCTATCAAAGAGCTCTCCATATTCTTCTTTTGTGCCCCAGCCAATAATCTCAGTGATTCTCTCTACAAACTCTGCTCGGGACATAGAAATACTGTGCCCGTGTTCTGGAAGCTAAGAAAGACAACAAAAATAAGACAAAAGTGAAAGTATCATAAAAACCTTTTGCTACCCAAAGGAAAATTGGAGCTTACTTAAACATACATTTTCTCCATAAGGCACATCACAGCCTTTTTGCACTTACAAACTTTAGTGTGTATAGTACCACAGTATATTAGCAGGCAAATTTTAAATCTTAAAGAATCGCAAAAAGGTCTTGACAGCAAGTAGACAACAGAAAGACACATTTTTTGCTGTTAAGAAAGTTGGAACTAGAAAGCAGAACACATGTTTTCATTCATCCTGGAAAACAAAAAAAAAATTGCAGCTTCACACATAAATGTGAATATCTGATCATGAAAGTACTCCAAGTGGTATGGTTACAAAATAATTTTTTCATGTAGGCCAATTCACAAATACTAAACTAGTGAAAAGTGAATAATTATAATTCAGATAAATAATATGGCTTAACATTCAAAAGCTGACTTATTCACTAAGATTCATAATGATAAAATCAACTTTATTCTACTATTTTAGGAGCAGAGTCACAATGGACAAAAGATCTGGGAGGAGCATGTTTTAAGTTTAATCCAGTTTCCACAAGCCATTATAGAAACTACATGCAAACAATTTTATTATTGAGTCTTAATCTCCCCATCTTAACTCTTTTTATATTGTAAAAAGAGTTTACAATATAAGTAGCAAAAAGAGAATTGGTTATAAGTTCAATTGATATATTCAATAGATACAGAAAAAATTCGACAAAATTTTAATACCCATTCATTATAAAATCTCTTAACTAAGAGTAGTGCTGTAGCACTGTCCTCCGGTTGTTCATTGACTGTTCATTGATTTGCTTGAGCTGGCCCAGTAACGTCTCCATTATGAGACTTGTTGTTAAGGTGTTTGACATATCGAATACATTACGGGGAGATTGCCAGGCTTTGCCATGTGGGCAAGATACTCTTGGTAGCTTGCCGGGCTGTCCGAGAGGGGCAGAGGAATCGAACTCGGGTTGGCCGTGTCAGCTGCATGCAAGGCAAATTCCCTACCGCTATGCTATCACTCCAGCCTAAAAAATATCTTCTTCACTTGATAAAGAATAAAGGGGGAGTGTACAGCTTACTTAGATGATGAAAAAACTAAAACTCTCACACTAATATCAGGTAAAATTAAGTATGGCTTATCACACTTCTCCTTTTGTGAACATTTTCCTAGTTGCTATTCCTGAGATGATAATAAAAGGCAAGATAAGGCCAAGCATGGTAAGGCAAGACAAGAATGAAAAGAAAAGAAAACAAAGATGAGGAGGGGAGAGGGGGGAGAGGAGGAGAGGTAAGATAGAGGGGAGGAGAGGAGATGAGATGGGAGGGAGGGAGGGGGAGAGAAGTGAGAAGATGAGAGGAACAGAAGAGAGGGGAGAAAAAGTGTGAAGGGGAGGGGAGGGGAAGGGCGGAGAGGAGAGGTATAAAGACTGAAAGGAAAAGTAAAAATGTTTCTTTTCACAGATATGATTTCTGCATACAAAGTCTGAATTAACAAATAAAAAAAACTATACAAAATTAATATATAAAAGTTAATCACTACTCTATAACAAAGTGAGAAAGTAACAGTTGAAATCAAAAGCATAGTACCATTTGCTTTAGCATTCACAGAATTTAAATACGTAATAAATCTCATAAAAAGTAATGAGATCTTTATGTGTAAGCTATAAAGTTCTAACTAGTGAAATAAAAATAATTAACTATGGAACATTTTATGTTCATAAATATAATACTGCTATGATCTTTTTTCCCAGATTATCTACAGATTTCATGAAAATCTAATTAAAATATTAAGTTATTTTGTGTATATTAATAAACTGGTTATAGAGCTTTTATACATAGGCTAAGACTCAGGTATCAGCAAAATATTGAAAGGGTAACAGCAAAGTTAGAGAATTGATTCTACCCAAACAAGAATTGTCTTACTACACAACTAAAGCTACTGAACATAGCATGGCATTTACATAAGAATAGATAGATAAAAATTCAACAAAATAGGAAACCCAGATATGGATCCAAATAGAATAAACTGTCATAAAGGTAGATAAAACCCTTATTAATTAATAAAAGATAATATTTTCAATAAATTGCTTTAGATGAAATAGATATCAATGTTTTTTAATGAACCTAAGAACAGACCTTATATCTTTCACAAAATTTAGTTCAAAATGGATCACAGACTTAAATATAAAATTCTTAGAAGATAACAAATAAACAGATTCAGAGGACCTTGAGTTTGCTGATAACTTTTCAGATACAACAATGAATGGATTATTAAAGAAAAAATTCTATATCTAAACCTACAGTTAAAACTTCTGATCTGTGAAATACAATGTCAAGAGAATGAGAAAACAAACTATAGACTAGGATAAAATATTTTCAAAAGCTATATCTGATAAAGAGCTCAATATGGAAATATCTTAAATTGAACTATAGTGAAAATCCATTTTAAAAGTTAACATAAGATCTTAATTGATACCTCACCAAAGAAACTATGCAGATAAAAATAAGCATATAAAAAAGTCATTGGAGAAATGTGAAATGAAAATGAAAAATCATTGTAAAAGTGGCAAGCTACCCATGACATATTCAATATGCCAAACACAGTAACAACAAGTCTCACGGTGGAGATGTTACTAGGCCCACTCGAGCAAATCGATGAACAACAAGAGGATTGTACAATAATTTCATGGTCAAAATCTTGAATAATGACAGAAGGAATTATTGCCGAGGATGTAGAAGAGACATTTTCATACACTGCTGATAGAAGTGCAAAACCATGTAACCACTTTCGAAGATTTGTGTGTGTGTATGTGTGTGTGTGTGCATGTGAGTGTTTTAACAGAACTAAGTACGCTCTTGTCATACATAACTCTAACGATCACATTCCTTGCTATTTACCTAAAGAACGTAAAAAATTAATTATTATATAAGAGATTGGGCAGGGATATTTATAGCATCTCTCTGTTCATATTTTCTAATACTTAGGAGCAAATGTGACATCCATCAGAAGGTAAATGTATAACCTGTACATTTAGATAACAGGTTGTTCATTGCTAAAATTAAATGTCACAAGAAGACATATAAGAACTCTAAATGCATATACGGAGTCAATATGAAAACATATTTTCTGATTTCAACTGTGTAAAATCCTGGAAAAAAGCAAAACAATGAAGAACAAAGACCAAAGTTTCCCAAGGACTAAGGGAGAGGAGAAAGAATAACATTACACAGCATAGAAAACATTTAGAGCAGTGAAACTATAACACGTGATACCACCAGGATGAATATGGTTCATTATACACTTGTTCAATCCCCTAAAACATACAGGAGTGTAACCCCCACTTGCAGCCGCGTGACTTTGGATTTCTGATATTTTACTAATTAAGTTTTGAGGGCTATCTGCCAAAAGCTGCTGGGTTCTTAATTGGGTCTGTGTGCCTCTGGAGCCATGGCCGTGCCTGAGAGCCTCTCGTGGGGGGCAACTCGTGGTCTCAGTGGGACAGGAGGATGGGTTGGTTCTACCCCCCATTCCATGAGGCTGCAGTTGTCCCGTCACTGCAGGCTCATACCTAGCTGTCCAATAGGCTCTGAGGCAGCGGCCACCGTGCTGCCAGCAGGGAGAAAGGTGGAAGGGACAAACACCCTTTCCCACAGTGGGGCACTGCACCATAGCTTACTGCATAGTCCAGTCACATTTCTGGCAAAAGCCGCTGGGTTCTGAATTGAGTCTGTGTGCCTATGGTATATAGATAATTTTTATGCTTGGTCCTTAAATTTTTTTCAGAACCTAAAGTCTGGGGCAATGGCACAGCAGGTAGGGTGTTTGCCTTGTACGTGGCCAGCCCAGGTTTGATTCCCAGCATCCCGTATGGTCCCCCTAGCACCGCCAGGAATAATTCCTGAGTGCATGAGCCAGGAGTAAACCCTGAGCATCGCTGGATCTGACCCAAAAAGAAAAAAAAAAGCAACGTGCTAATAAATTATATAAAGTGATAGCACAGTGGTAGGGTGTTTGCCTTCCATGCAGCCAGCCAGGCGGAGCTGGGTTCAATTCCTCTGCCCCTCTCGGAAAGCCCAGCAAGCTACAGAGAGTATCTCGCCCTCACGGCAAAGCCTGGCAAGCTACCCATGACGTATTCAATATGCCAAACACAGTAACAAGTCTCAAAAAATGGAGACGTTACTGGGCCTGCTCGAGCAAATCGATGAAAAACGGGAGGACAGTGACAGTGACAATAAATATGTAAATAAATATAAAACTATAAAATTATAAGACTATAAAACCAAGCTCTCGGAAGAGAACAATGCAGTCCCACGACCTCTTATTATCTAGTTCTCACTCTTAGAGAACCCAGCAGGCTACCGAGAGTATCCTGCCCACATATATGCCTGACTGGGAATACCTGCAAAGGTGATTAGAGGCTTCCCCAAAAGCCTCCATCCCTCTCGGAGAACCTGGCAAGCTACCAAGAGTATCCCACCCGCATGGCAGAGCCTGGCAAGCTACCCGTGGCATACTCAATATGCCAAAAACAGTTAACAGTGATGGTCCTCATTTCCCTGACCATGAAAGAGCCCCCAATATACCATGAGGCTACACTAGCATGTGACAGGGATGAATGGAGACATTACTGGCACCCGCTCGAACAAATAAATGAATAACGGGGTGATAGTGATAGTATTAATAAAATATTAAATAAAATAATTAATACGAAATATATTAATTAATTAAATGGAATAAAAAATTTCAGTAGTCAGGTGTTTAAAAGAGATCGATTTATATTTAAATTAATTAAATTAGCTTCTTAAAAAATGATAATTTGGATTTAATTTTTTGAAATGCTCAGAAGTCTATCATTCTTATGTTTAAATGGAAACTTTTAGTGAGGTGAGCCATTTTAGATTTAGAAAAATAAATATATACTAAAAACACTTTATCTATGCCAAAACCAAAAACTGCCTTGGAAA